CACACACACACCTGTTTACTGTAGTTACAAACACAACATTTTACTGTTTGCTTTTCTAGTACAACCCTCTTTCTTTAGCTCAAGTATGCAAACCTCTTTGCACATGCACTGTAATATGTATTATATTATATTGAAAGTCAAATTTTCAAATGAAAATGGCAACGTGATCATTTCATAAAGTATGCGGTTTCATTTTTGCTGGAGGAAACAGCTGTAGTGTGATGAGGAAACGCAGCGAAATTTTACAGTAGATGGGGAACCGATTGCTCCCCCGTGATATTTTGTAAACTGTATTTATGACAAAGAACTGCACAGTTGCAGATATTATAACAATCTATCGATAAACACACACCTTGCCCCCTGTTTCTCGCTCTGCGCCGCCACGGTCAGCTTATTGAAGAACGCACTGAAAGACGGGGAGGAGCCGAATCTGCCGCTGTATTCATATGAAATTTAAAGGGGACTGAGGCGATCACGAATTCATGTACAGTTTATGGAGCTGATCGCAAAATTTTTAGGGGGGCTGAGTAGTCACTTTCAGCCCCCCTAAAAGTGGCCTAGCAACGCCCATGTTCTACAGTATACATCCTACTCTGTATTGTTGCATACACTCATTATGGAAATAAAAAGGGTTGTGAACACACACACACACAGAGTGATTGATCAGATCTGGCATGTAAAAGGTGTTTTTCTGCTTTTCTTGTTTATGCAAGCATTATGGTGCATTTGTGCACAGAGGAAGGTGTGTGTGTGTTAAATGGGTGTGTTTGGTTGCTGATTTGTGTGTGTGTGTGTGTGTGTAGCAGTTCCTGTGTTGATTTACAGTGAGTTTGCGAGTACTGCAGCGCCGCGTCCTGAAATATTCATTTATTTTACCATTATTTTCCATTTGCTCTGGAGTGCACAGAACTTTTGGCCTTGCGTCGGCTCGTTCAGATGCACTCAGAATAAATCTCAGTGCAGCGCTGATAAGCAAAGGGGCTAAAAGTGTGCCAATAATCGTTTCCTCGCACCTGTTCGTTTCTGTTTACCCATAATTACAGCCTTAAACATTCATTTCACTCGGACGCTGGTCGTAGTTCTGCAGCGGTCCATCAGTCACGGCCGAGCTTCAGTTAAAGCTCTGAATTTACAGTAAAATATGCTTACATTCAAGAGCAGTTTTATTCTTTTAGGGCTTTGTGTTTATTGTTGTAAAGCACTTTCAATTTATGCCGTGCTATATCAATAAATCTGACTTTGACATTGACATTCAATGATGCACAGCTAGACTTTTTACATTAAAGGTGAAGTTTTGATGTTTAAAGCAGCTAGTTAGTTGCACTGCAAAGAAATTATGTTTTTCCTCAGTGTTTCTGTATTATTTTCCGGTGCTAATGTCTAAATTTTCTTAATGCATGCAAAATCTGTAGACTATTTTCACATTCCAGATCCGTTTGGATCCGAAGAATCTTGAAAACTCTCTATTTTTCAATTAAAACCATATTCTATCTAATCAGCAACTTCTCATTAATGAGTGAATGTGAAATAATTTTGAATGTTACCACATTATTACTGCATTTACCCCTTTAAAAAAAAGAAAGAAATTTGAAATTCTTTGAAATTTCAAATTCCACTTGAACCAATTTTGATTTGAATAAATCATTGCAATACATTTATAAGGGCATAATTTGATTAAATTCCTTTGAATTTTTTTTAACTCATATTTGCTCAAAAACAGTCCAAATCTATAAAACATACATATTTATTTCTAACAATAAATAAATAAATAAATAAATATCACTCTAAAAAGTTTTCAAACAAAGTAATGTGATTTTAATTGCATAAACTTTCAGTTTTAGGTGAAAAAAGTGATCAGTTTTTCATGCTGCAGTGGTTAATCAATTGACATACATATTCATGTTCATCAACAAAATTCAGTTCAAAAGTGTGTGAGAAATGGGGAAAAGGCTGCATTTGTTTTTAAAAGGTTTTTGGCACTACTATAACTCCACGTACAATTTTCCAAATTTTACATTTTTGACACTAATTGTGCTCCATACATACCCGGTTCAAAAATGACCCAATCTTTTTTTGAAAGATATATATCTTAAAAACTTATTGTAAAAAAAAATAAAAAATCAAATAACTAAATACACAAATAAATACATTCTTAAATCATTTGCAAAATGCCATTCCCTTACTAAAAACTATGTTTTTTTGATGTATCTCTTCCTGTCAAAATGCACCTGAATGCGTTATGAGGGTTAAATCAAGATACCTTTACATTTAAAAAATGACTTATTTTCTGTTATTTTCCATTTACTATAAAATGACCTAAGTCTTATTTTCTGACAAATTTATCAAAATTAAGTGAGTTTTTGCTCAAAACAAGGGTAATAAAATATCTGGCAATGGGGGCAGAAAAATAATTTTCACTTTGAATAACCACATTGGCAGATATTTGTTAATAACTCAAATGATTTTGATGCATTTTTCAGAAAACGATGCAATATCATATAAAGTAATTTTGCTTCTACAGTAAGTGTATATTGATTCGAGAATACTTAGATATTTGTACTGGAAAGCAATGCAAATAAGTAAAAAAAAAAAATCTTATTTTTGCAGTGTGCAACAGATAGTCCTACAACAAACTCTTACTAAACCACGGTTGAGCCCGTCTGGTTGGGATGTGCAACCAAAAACATCAGTGTTTGACAGTCAAAGAGCCACAGAATCCGTTCAATTTTAATGTGTTCCTCTGTTCATTCTCACCTGTTTATTGCAGGAATTAAAAGCACAGATGACGGTCGGCATTGTGCGTCCCGCGAGGAGAATTAGGATGAATGAGAGCTGACGGTGGATGATATGAAGGGGAAGTCTGCTCGCACGCCGCTGTGAAATGAATCACATTTATGCTTGCTGGCGCGGCGGCAGCCCAGCGTTTAACGATGATAGAGTTTGGACACTTAATTTCTGTCATTGTGAAATTGGTATGCGGCGCAGCTAATGATGGTAATATATGTGTTGTGCCGCGCGTTCGCTTCGAATCGCTCTCCATCTCGGTTTAAGCGCTGCTGCTGTTTGGCATATTGCATTAGGAGCGGCCACATCATGACGGAAAGAACCGAGGAGGAGGAATCTTTCATTTCCAGGCCACGGTAATGGGAAAAGCGCTGATAATATAAATGTCTGTCCTTTTGTTTCAGGAGATTGTGACTTCGAGAAGCCCTTCTCGTCCTGCGGATACAGCCAAGGGCGAGACGATGATCTGGACTGGGAGCAGATCAACACCAGTGAAAAGCCTTCGCTGGACCCATGGGTGCCGCCAGGTGAGACCGTCGCATTGATCAATCACTGATCGATTAGTGGAGGTTCTTGCTTGATTGTGGCTTCCTGACAGTCGTTCATCTGTACTGATGAAGGTCAAGCTTCTCAATGGGCCTCTTCGGCTGGAAAATGTACGTTTTGAATTTTTACTTTTTTTTGCTATATCAGAATGGGGAGAAAGTTGGTGGCTTTTTTCGCAGTAGCTATGTGAACACACAAAAAAATCACGGACATGATTTGGATATGTTAAAGGTCGGAAATAAAAAAAGTAAGACTTGGCGGTCAAAAGTGACCGTGGAAAAAAATTGCTCATAAAGATTTTATAAATATTGCGTAGTATCATACAATCCCCTCAAAATTCTAAATAATAATAAAAAAAAATATATAATAATCAAAAATTATTTTAAAAATTATATTACATTGATTTTCCTGAGAGAGAAAAAACAACACACATTTCAAGTCTTTGTTCGCTTTTGACCGTGAAAGTACCAAGCATGATCCAAAAATGATGAAAAATCATGTGTATTTTTGCTCAGAACAAGTATAATAAAATATCTGCCAATGGGGTTGGAAAAAATCATCTTACTTTTTTCTTTGAATTAAGTTTATTTTATTACGTTTTATTGCAATGGCTTTGTGATGGGTCTCAGAATAATAAACCCAAAATGCTAAACTTTTTTTTTTGTAATGATTATATCTCTTAAAAAATAACTGAAAAAATCTGAAAATAAAAATAAATGTGTATTTTGATGGTGTTAATGTGTATTTTCAAAGTTTTGTTCCCTTAATAAAAACTATGTATTTTGTAGAAATTGTTATGATTCTCTTCTGGATCAAAATGGGCATGAATGCATTATGAGGATTAAATCGAGAGTTCCTTGGGGTCTTAAAAAGCTCTTAAAGTCTTAATTTACCCACAAATAAAGACCTTAAATAGGTTTTAAATCAGAACGGAACATTTTAAATTCATTAAAAGTAATGCATACACTACAAAAACATCAAGAAACATTTACTTGAGATGCAAAATGAAATGAGTTTATGCTTAAAACATGAAAAAGATATCTGTCAGTGGGGTGTGAAAGAGTTGTTTTTCTTTTAAATTAAGTTTATTTTCTGACCCTATATCGGTTCTTGTTTTAATCATAAACTCATTTCATTTTGTTCAGTTTCTCAGAAAACAACACTTCTTAATTTTGATTTAGAAAATTGAAACGGAAAAAAATACGGAACATCACATTTTTTGCTACAGAAGTTAAGTAAAAGTCTAGTAGATTGAATCAGAGCAATTCAAGCTTTAGCATTTTTTTTTTTAAGAATCAAAATTCATTAAAAAGTGGTGGAGTTCTGTTGTAAGTTGTATTTTCAAACTTTAAAGTGTCACTAATACAACTCATTGTCTGCTCTCTAGACATTTACCATAAGAAAACATATTGTGTTTCCTTTCATTTATCCTTAAATTGTATTTAATTTTATAATTGAACATATTTTAGGGTTATCGAGCACTGTTTTGTTCTAAAAGTAAAAGTAAAAATCATGGGGAATTTTTAAACATATAAACATTTCTAGGCCGTCTTTCCTTGAGGTCACTGATGATATTTGCTGTTTTACTATCCATAATCCTGAAATAATCTCCATCCGTCAGTAGAAATCAGTAGCACGACTGCGAATCACTCTCAAACTGCTTATATATCTGTGCATATTTGAATTCAACTTCACAATTGGTGGTTTTTATGCTCGTAATGGTTGAGTTGTGGGTGGTTTTGATTGCATGACTTCACATGCAGAATGAAACGGTGTAATCTGCTGGGTTTGGTTGGTTTGAGCTCTTTATTGAGGACTGTTTGAAATCTCTGTGGAGGGAATCATGGGCTGAGATGGTGTGCGATCACTACCGCACTTTATTAGAGAATAAACCCAGCAGAATCAACCCTCGGTCCTCCGAGGAAACCTTCCACCAGTAACCAGCCAGTTATCGCTTGCATTACGGTAAAAGCGGCTGGCGCTCGATATCAGCTAATGGAGGAAAGACAGAAGCTCTGGGAATGAATTTTTATATCAAAACAGGCAAATCTATTTGAATTAAAGCGTCTTTCCTCTAGCGGTGGCGTATTGGAAGTCATTAAGATGCTTTTCCCGTATTTGGAGCGTCTCTCTCTCTCTTTAATGCGGCATTGATCGCCTCTCATTTGATTTGAGACGAAGACACTGGGACTGACAGCACCTCAGGAATCAGACTAATGGAGACGCCGCTCGAGAATGAATGCATATTGTTTTCCTGTGTAATGTGATGCGTAATCGAGTGCTTACTTGTTTGTGTGTGTTTTAGCCTGATAGTGCTGGCCAATATATTGAATATTTCCTACATGTTTGTTTTTTATCTAATGTGCTTTTTATTTTGCCATTTGAGTTTTGTGAACATCTTGTCATTTAGATTAGCTTCAAGATTCAGTTTAAACATATATGTGAGCCTGGAGCACAAAAGCAATCATAAGCAGCACAGGTATATTTGTAGCAATAGCCCACAATACATTGTATGGGTCAAAATTATCAATTTTTCTTTTATGCCAAAAATCATTAGGATATTAAGTAAAGATCATGTTCCATGAAGATATTTTGTCAATTTCCTACCGTAAATATATCAAAACTTAATTTTTGATTAGTAATATGCTTTGCGAAGAACTTAATTTGGACAACTTTAAGGGTGATTTTCTAAATATTTAGATTTTTTTGCACCCTCAGATTCCAGATAATTAAATATTGTCCTATCCTAACAAACCATACATCGATGGAAAGCTTATTTATTCAGCTTTCAGATGATGTATAAATCTAAATTTCCAAAAACTGACCCTTATGACTGGTTTTGTGCTCCAGGGTCACAAATTCAACATGAAATCAAGATCATCTCCATTTACTTTAATAATTCATGTTCCTGGATGCATGTTTGTTTGTTTGTCACTGATGCACATGACTGAAAATGAATAAATCTCATTATTTATTCAGTTAATGTTAAAGTTTAGTGGCCATTATTATTTTTATTGTTTTTAATCTAGTATTTTTCATTAAAAAAATTCACAGTATTTACTTAAATATCGAAGTACTAAAAATCATTAAAAGGCTGAAAGGGGTTATAAAGACAGTAATATTATCTATTTAACTGCACTGACACCAGGGATGTTTTTTAGTATCATTGAAATACTACTATAGTTTTTATTAATATTTAGAATGAGTTTTTATTTTATATGTTCTGTTTTCAGTTAAAGTTTTAGTAATTGTATTATTATTATTATTATTATTATTATTATTTTATTTGTCATTTTTAGTAGTTTTTGTTTGTTGTTCTTGAGTGGGAACAAGCAATGGACCGAAAGATCTCGTGGACTGAGCTGTGGAAAGCAGAGCCATACCGGATCCAGTTCCTTATCCAATCAGTCTACGATGTCCTCCCCAGTCCAAATAACCTCTTCTCATGGGGCCTGAAAGACACCCCTGCATGCCTCCTGTGCCAAAAAAGAGGATCCCTGGAGCACATATTAAGTTGTTGCTCTAAGGCGCTGGGAGAGGGACGTTATCGGTGGCGCCACGACCAGGTGCTAAGGGTAATTGCTGGAACCATCAGTACCGGAATCTGTCTCAGCAAGCACCAACAGCCAGTACAGCACACAGTCACATTTGTTAAGGCGGGAGAGAAACCACAAGGGAGCAGGAACTCAGCGGGGGGACTTCTAACAACAGCTCGAGACTGGCAGCTAAAGGTTGACCTGGGAAGGCAGCTCAGATTTCCAGAAACCATCGCCACGACCACACTTAGGCCTGACATGGTCCTATTTTCAGAATCATCAAGGCAGGTGGTTCTACTGGAATTGACTGTGCCCTGGGAAGACCGGATGGAAGAGGCATTTGAATGGAAGAGAGCCAAGTATGAGGAGTTGACAGGTGAATGCCGTAACAGGGGATGGAAGACCCGCTGCCTCCCCATTGAGGTTGGCTGCCGAGGGTTTGCCGGCCAGTCATTGTGCGGGGCCCTCAAGCTCTTGGGAATCAGGGGACTGCACAAGAATAAAGCCATCATGAACATCACGGATGCCGCGGAGAAGGCATCAAGATGGCTGTGGATCAAAAGGGGCGATCCGTGGACTACACAAGCTACCTAGACACAAGTCGGGGACTGATCACCCCTGGCTGGGTCACCTGGGCGAGGGTGTATGATGTTGAAAGACCCGAAACACCCGATGACCCCAGGTAAACATCACTGATGATGTGTCTAGGGTGCACCTGGAAGGTGTATGTCAAATTAGTAAATTTAAATTAAAATGAGAAATGTTGCCTTGAAAGCTTTTTATTTTATTTCAAGTAACTTTTTTTATGGTTTTAGTTTCAGTTTCAGTTTTAGTTTTAGTTAACTATGATAACCCTGACTGACAGTATTGGATTGGAACAAAATTTTGAACTGAACTGATCTGAATAATGACTCTATTGTTGTCAGGCTCTGTTTCTGTCTTGTGTTGTGTTTTGTTCCCCACGTGAGGGACCTCCAGAGTGCCCACCCCCCTCCCCATTGGATGTTATATGGCGTGAGGACACGCCTTCCGGAGGGGGGCGTTATATCAGACTCTGTTTCTGTCTTGAAACAGATGTCTTGAGTTTTGTTCCCCACGTGCTCCATGTTATGTTTATGCCCTTATTTGGTCTTCCTGTTCCCTGAATAGGTTCATTTGTCCCAGGTGTTTCCTATGTTTATTATGTCATTATTTCCAGGTGTTCCCCATTTAGTTCAGAGTACTTAAGCCCTGTGTTTTTCATTGTTTAGTCGTCCGGTATTGAATGTCTGTATGTGTATACATCTCCTGCTATGTGTGTTTTCCTGGTTCCCTCGATGTCATTAAAATCTCATTTTTGATGTTCTCCTCGCTCCGTGCTCCCTCACAGTAGCAACGTGACAATTGTCTTCTGTAGAGCTGCTTTACAGCTGAAGTGTTCATAATTGCTGAATTTGTCAATATGG